TTGATGTCATCATTTATCCATGGAGCGGGGGGGGACGTCTGACGGTTCGTGTTACGGAGGGAGCCAGCGCATCAATGCTGCTTTTAATAACTTCCGTGAGGATAGTTACTTGGTTGTTCACATTAACTGTCAATGAAATATTTGATAAAGTCATTTCTTTAGACAAGATAAGCTCGCACAAAGACCGAGGGTCATAGTGTCTGAAATCGCGAAAAGTTTTTATTACTGGTGGTCGCTTTGTTTTCTTTATATTTAACGTCATCGTGATGAGTTCATGGTCAGCAACATGGCACGGGATGATATCGAAGTGGAGAATGAGGCCTGATCTGTTAGATATCATTAAATCTAATAGAGAAGAGGTGTTTTCTGTAATTCGTGTAGGTTTATCTATTCTTCTTCTTCTTCTTCTAGCTTTTCCCATTTATGGCGTCGCTGCGGCAGATACAAACATCTTTCAGATTTTTCTATCTTGCGTGTCTTCCTCCTTTGCACCCACAGACCGCATATCAGCGTTGATATGGTCCATCCACTGTTGCTTCGGGCGTCCTCTTTTTCTTTTTCCTGGTGGTTCCTTGCTCAACATCCTTTTTCCGACGTATTCCTCCTCTCTTCTCGTTACATGTCCAAACTATCTCAGTCTCGCACTTTTGCACCTTAATCCGATGTTCTTCACTCCCATTTGTCTCCTGATGTCCTCATTTCTTACTCTGTCTCTTCTGGTCACCCCACACGCCCATCTGCACATTTTCATTTCGGCCACCTCCAATCTCTTTGTCGTCTTATTTGTTTGAGGTACCGTCTCCAACACATAGAGCATTGCAGGCTGGATCACTGTCTGGTGGATCTTTCCCTTTACTCTGGTTGGGATCCTCTTGTCACACAACACACCACTCATCTTCTTCAAGTTGTTCCATCCTGATTGAATCCTTCTGCTAATCTCTGCGTTCACTCCTCCGTCCGCTTGCAACGTGCTCCCGAGGTGCTTAAATTCTTTTACTTCTGGCAACCGTTGATCCTGTATCCGTACGCTTCCTCTGGGCACTCCGTTCAAGCACATGCACTCTGTCTTCGCTCTCGACACTTCCATTCCTCTCTTCCCCTGTCCATCGGGCCACCTATCTATGTTCTCCTCCAGCTCGGTTTTCCACATCGTTCGCGAACATGATGCTCCATGGAGCTTCCTTCCTTATGTTGTCTGTGAGGGTATCTATGATGATGGCAAACTAATTCATTTTTCTTAATCTGCTTAGCTAACTTAGCATCAGATTATCATTTAGGTCACATAAGATGAAAAGCGGTTTCTTTTTAAAGACATTTCTCTGAAAACCTTTTCAATATATTAAAAAGATTCCGAGGTAGAAAGGGGGTGCCTATAGACAGCGCCAATAATAAAGGAAGGAAGCATGTTGCTTTGTACGGTAACCCAGACATCTTCTACGGTAGTATTGTTAACTGCTGTAGGAGATCCTGTTTGACTTCAGGGTATCTCGTACATGTAAACGCACTCCTCCTCTTCGCCCTGCATCACATCTTTAAACTTTAAAATTTGGAATTTGATGAAATTACTAACCATTTCATGGTGGAGCCATGTTTCACTTATGTATAATATGTCTATGATTCTCTCCTCGACAAGCATTTTAATTTCTTCAAAATGTCCGAGGAGAGACTGAGCATTTATATGCTTTATTTTTATGACATGCGATGTGTTCACTGATAACGCTGACGGCGTTGCCTTGGCAAACATTCTGATCGCGCTTGTACTTATTTTTTGTTTAAGAACATTTTAACATTGTCGGAAAAAAGCATCAGAGTCTATAAATAGCTCGGGCTTAATATCCTTTCCCCTTCCTGATACCGTGAAACTGGTGTAGTAGTCACGAGTCCTCACTGCCTTATGGGGTTTTGCACTTTGTTTTGTTAGGGGGCGTTGTGACTGGGGGAGGAGATGTGAAAGGGAAGGTTTCGTACGTGGTCTGATCACGGGTGGGGACGACGATTGCGATTTGCAAAGTTCTAGCGGATGGGAGGTTGGGGGTGCTTGTGTGACCGATGCGTGCTCTGCTTGCTTTTGCCCTATGATTTTATTAATGGACAATTTCTGTTCGGAGAACAATTCGATCAGCAAGTCAATTTTGTTCTCGATCAGATTTTGGTCAGTGAAGGAGGGTCCATTACAGGTCTGTGTTTCTTGGTCGGTACTCTTTTTGAAAAAAAAAAAAAAAAAAAAAAAAAACGGAGTAGATATACCTGATTTCTTAGGTGGTGACCAGTCTGTTGGGGGAGTGTCCGTTGTAGTTGTTGCGAACACTGTTTTGATTATCGACACACTGATCAATCATAGTGTGCACGATAATGTTTGTCATCCGTTTGGTGTCCTGTGTCGTGTTCCTGGGTTTTCGAGGACAAACTGATCACAATGTTTTGTGCTTGTTCGATTCAGCCGCCCTGTAATATTTTCTGATTTGATCACAGATGACCGACTTTGCCCAGGACTTTTTTT